TTTTGAAATTAGAATTTTGACAAGCTGGATCATAGTTCTAAACCGTATCATATGGTACCGCTCGCCCTCTAAAATACCAGAGGAGGGGGGGGACGGCTTCGCATCCGCGAACCCCCCCCCTTCAATTAGTCCTGGATCCGCCCCTGGTCTATAATTTCGAATAGTACATAGCTGTTGTGTTGTATTTTAACAAATATCTGTCATATTTTGTCCACCCAATATGTTGTGATCTGCTTGCTTTGGAAAAAGATTATTCTTACTTTATCATGGATATATTGTACAATAAAATAAAATAAAATAAAATAAATCAAAAAAGAATAAAATAAAAATAAAATAAAATAACCCAAACAAAATAAAACACCTGGGTAAATTATCCCAAGGAAATCTTTTATTTGAATTCCGTATTAAATTTAATTCTTGTGTTTCATTTCCCTAACAGACGGGATACTAGGCCTGCATGTGGTGTACGACTGAGATGACAGCTCCACCTACAGTACCTTGTGTGTGAATGTCACCTTGTAGCTAGCAATATCCATAGCTCTCATTTTCAGGCCATTTTTATGTGCATCTGTATCGGAATGCAATGTATGGAGTGTATACACACAGTAAAACCGTTATCCTGCCCGCGGCAAGAACTCATACACACCGTTGTCTTTGACCTCAGCACTGGCCCTGTTTTTATTACACGTTCCTGTGGATCAATATGTCACAGGTGTGCTCAGTTTGGCAGTGAATTTGGGAATTTTTCATATCATGTCTACTTTCGGGACTGGGTTTTGGTGGTGCCGATGAGAAATGTGTCGAGTAATGAAACAAATTTTGTCCCCCTGTTTTTGGAGAATTTTGAAAGAATTTCAAAGTATACTCACTGGAAATATTACCTGCTTTTAAAATAGTCTTATATCTTGTTTGGATAAAAAAAAAAACACACTTGGAGGACAATTCCGACTACCAGACTTGCTACGTGGCTGGCGATTCCGTGCCCAAGTCTATTCTTTCCACGGGTTTTGATAAACATAAGTAATGAATGAGCCTTTAATCCTACTAAATTTCATTCACCAGTGCGTCTAATATCTTTTCGGTCTAGTTAACGTTTTATTTAGATTGCTGTATTAGTGACACAGGCAGGAGAGCCCATGGACCTTACCCCCCCCCCCTTTCCACCCTAGTATTTATCATTGCCCCTACCCAGAAGGAACAAGAATGCTGTTTTGTGTGCTGTATCATTGCCCAGTTGATATACCTTCCTTGGCAATTCTTGAACAGGAAACGGGAGCACGGAAATAAAAGTTTCTCTTTTTCACTATCCATGAACCAACCGCCTTTGGTCTGTCCTATTACTCAGGAGGCCATACCCAGTGCAGACCACCCAGTGGCGCCACCTACAGGTATGCACATAGTCATTGACAATAGAAACACGAAACGATAAAATAAAAGCCGATCGGCCTATCATCTGGCAATAAACAAGTACAGTTGGGAATTGTACTTGAGAGGAATATACCACCTGATTTATTATCTACCGAGGGCATCAACAACGGGATCAAATATG